TGTAGTTCACTGGATCCTGAAAAATGCCAAGCTCTTTATAAATATATTTTACTTATAATACTCATATCCATCCTGCAACTTAGATGTCAAAAGCCCCACTTTGCAAGCAGGAAATCCAAGGCTCAGACAGCTTATGCAACAGGCACAACATCATCCAGCTAGTAGTCAGCAAAGCCAGGGCACAGGTCAAGGTCTTTCAGCCTCCTAAGCCTCCATCCTTTCCACTGTCACAGGCTCTGGTTTCATACCTCCTGCTTCCCAACTCAGCTCCCTCCCTGCAATGTGATGAGCGTCCAGGAGGACTCCCTCCATCTTCCTAGGTTCAAACCCCTGTGAGCAGTAGCTGAGGCAGGATGGAGGTTATGCAAGTATGTCTCTTCAGGGAGTAGTGAGCAGTTATAAGGGGAGGGGTGATACTAAAATAAAACCAAATCAAACCATCAACTTTTACGCATCAGTTTCCTCTCGTTTTTCCATCACTTTGTTAGAGGAATGTGTCTGTCATCTTATTCTTCCCTGAAATTGTGGTCTGATGACAATTTTTTTCCTTTCAAGGCTGTTCTCAGGGGAGAATTGGTGATTTGTAAAAGAGGGAAAGAAGAAAGAAGCAAAGAGAAGAGAAAAAAATGAGGAAAAACAAATCCAAATGATCCTGGGGGCTCATTTCACTTCATTTGGGAGCTTAGCAAGATACTGCTTAACCGAAAAAGCACTGATACTCCTAGCAGCTGAGCTGAAACAGGGACCTTTATAATAAGGCCACTTTCTGACTCAGGAACAGTTACATAAAACAGTTACCACTGTTACAGAGTCAATGGACTAGTGGTTTTTTTCCTTAGCTGAAAAATATGTAGAATTTTGCTGTGGAGGGTCCCTCTCCTGGAGACCCTTCCGTGGTGCATGGTGCATACAGGCAAGCTATGGCCAGTGTGGGCAAGGCTCTCTGTGGGGTAATGAAAGCCATTTCTGTGGTATTCCTATCAAAATTTGGAATAGCCTGAATCTAGTAATGAGGAAACATCAGACAAATCCAAATAAAGAGACATTCTAGGAAATAACTTGCCTATACTCTTCAAGAATATCAATATTGTGAAACACATAGAAAGACAGAACTGTTCCAGATATAGGGTGACTAAAGAAACGCCACAATTAAAAGCACCATATGATCAAAGATTTCCCTTTGCTATAAAAAATATTAGTGGGCAATAGGTGGAATAAAATCTATAGAGTTTTAATAGTATTGCATCAGTGTCAAAATCCTGATTTTGATCATTGTAAAGTGGATATGTAAAAGAATTTTTTTTGTTTGTAGAAAATGCACTTAAGGGGAAGAGATACCATGTTTGCAATTCCTGTCAAATGAGAAAGCTGGGGAAGGATAAAGAAAATGTGGTAAAATATTAGTATTTGATAAATCTGAGTGAAGGGGGATCAGAAATGCTTGGTAGTGTTTTTGTAAACTTTCTGTAAGTATGAATTTCGTCAAACTAAAAAGTGAAAAAAAAAAGTTGAACATGAGTAAATGATCTGAGGTCTTCTGCTCTTGAAATCATTACAACTTAAGTCCCTTGTGGTATAAATACTGAAATTCTACAATAGTTATTTTTGCAGAATAAACCATGAGCTAATTCTCTACTTGCTCCTGAGATAGAGTAAATATGAAGCCATGAGTTAAAATTTACTTGAACAAATTTTGAAAGACGTGACGTATCAAAATCATTTCTCAGCCTTATTCCTCAGTCTAGTTCTCCTGAAATATAAAATGTCAAACAAAATTTGACAAAGTAAACAAATATTAAATATCTGATTTGCTAGCATATTGATTTCAGACCTTTTGGATTTATAATTAAGTTGTGTTTTTGTGTTTGCTTATGTTAAAATGCACTGGCAATGTCTGCATGTGAACAAATAACACTGTGTAATGATGCCTATTTAATAAGTCTATAAGAAAAGGGAGAATAGTGCAGAGGAAAGAATATTTCCTAAAGAATCAGAGACATTCTAAATAACTAGTTAAGTAATTTTATGGCTTTGGACAAGTCACCTGACCTGAAAAATAAGCAGATTGGAATGTTATAAAAGCAAAATTGGGCTCTCACTCTGAGTTGGACATTATATTTGATCCTGAATAATCTCCAAGGTCCCTTTAAATATCAACATTCTAATACTTAGCACATAGTGCTTGCATTTTAAATGATTATAGAAATGTTTCCTTGTGGCATCTTTGCTTTTACAACAAGTTTTGGCCACAGCTATGATGGATTGACGCTACTGCTTGGGTAGAAAGTCCACCATGGGAAATGAATAGAGGACTTGCCTTTATAGCCCAACACAGAGATTGATAGCCTCCTATCTGAGCGCTCACCCACTGGCTTTAGAAATGCATTATCTTCCTTCTCTCAAAGCCTGCTTCCAGACAGCCTTCCCAAACTGGCCACCCAACCTCCAGCTGCAATCCTCTCCTCCTCTGCCTCGGCAGCCGCCCAGAGGCCCACTCTGCACAGCTGTCTAACTTTTCTGCGTTACTTTGCTTCAGTGCTCTGCACCTGCCATGCCAGCTGGGTCCTGGAGCTTCCTGAGGGCAGGTGTCTCATCTCCAGGCTCCGGGTCATCTATACACATTGGATACTCACTTAGTAAAAGAAGTACTGTGGGCTGACTAATTCAGGAACATAAACCAAACCACCGTAACTAAAACAACACAGCATTTCCGGAAACAGAGCTGAGAGAAAGAGAACGGTTGTAACTTTGCAAAAAGCTCCATCCTTCATTTCACTCTAGGGGAAAACCTAGGTTGAGGAGGAAGAAATCTGCCTCTTCACCATCATTTCAAGCCACATTCCATCATTTCTCTCATGGGGTGTTTCAGGCATAGCTCCATCCAGGGCTGGGCCTGGGACTGGCCTGATTAGTGGTCTTGCTTCCACTTTCAGGTGCTAGGGCTCTAGAAACAAGTAGGAGAAATGTTCTACTTCCTGTGGTCCTGTAACCACAGCCTGTCATACTCTGATCTCGTTTGCTTACTCCTATTTCAAGCATGCCTGGGTGTTCACATTTCCTTGAGTTTGCATACACTGTGCCCTGTCTTGAAGGCCATTCGTTACCCCCAGTGTCCATAGAAAACTCATCCTTCTTTGAAAATGAACACAAGCGGGCACCTCCTCTCCCAGGGAATCTTTGGCACACTCCTAAACTCCTCCTACATTTTGTGTAACTCTTGCTCCATTATAGAAAAGATCCCCTGGTGTCATGCTTGTGTATTGCTATGTCTGTCCATCATGCTACTCTACAAATGTTTTGAAGCCAATAACCACATCGGCTCTCCTTGTATTTCCAGTGCTTAGCACACACCTAGTCCCTGGTATGTTTCAGGGTGGGAGTGAGGAAACTGAACAGGTCAGAGTCTGAAGACTTCCGGTGACCAGAAGTCAACCTGAGGACACAAGAAACTAAAGACTAACAGAGTTCAACATTTCCAGTTTGTGCCTCTTGTCAATTACCAAAAGCAAGGTCATTTAGGTAGTTGTAGCTGTGAAGGGCTGGGCTTTGAATCATTTTTTGCAGATCTAAAGATGCCCAATGCTTTCATTTAAAGGCTAAATACTCCTAACTGGCCCACACAGGAAACATCACAGGAAATCATGTTTCAGCTCAGCCTCTGCTCCAATACAACCGCAGTTTCAAAATGCTGCAGATACTGGTGGAGATTGAGAAAGCAAAACTTCTTTGTTTAGCCCGCAGCTAAGATTCTGCTTTTGCTCAATTCTCTTCCAAAGCATTTGCATGCATATCTGAAATTTCTTATCTCCCAAGGGAGTGCCTTAAGGGCAAGACTGTTTGCAGGACAAATACTTCCCTTCTACTTGCCTTTCCTCCTCCCCACCTATATCTTCCAAAGCACAGGGTCCGGCCCTAGGAAGCACTTAACATCTGATTATTAAGTAAATTCATTTAAAAAGTCTGGTCTTTGTTTTTAAATTCAAGGCTTGATAGCCCCTGAGGTGCTTTGGGAATCTAGAGCCCTTGGTTCCATTCCCATTCCTCATTGTTAGGTGGGTGTGTGTGGTTCTATGGGACTTCCCTCGCTATTCCAGGGAAGATTCTTGCAGGTCTTGGAAGGAGAAAGCTATGATCTAGAGTTCCCAGTGGTAAACTGACCCCCAGCAACAACAGTGGTCACAGAAAGCCAGGATCATAGCTTGCTATCACTTTCTGAGTCCATAAGACCTCAATCATTAGTTATGGAGCATGAATTAGAAATCTTGGAATATCAAGTTTTGTTTGTAAGTCATGCAGATTTGGTGCATGCCATATATTGATTGATATTCATGTTTTAAACACTAAGGATAAGTTTATTTGAGGGAACCCTGAGGATCACAATGATCTTCCTGCCCTTTAAAAACAACCAATCTAAGCATCCGTTAGAGGCATCTAGCTTTTTGAAATACAGGTACAGAGCATGTCTTGTGTTCTTGACTCTGAGCTGGGTGTAGCAGTTGTAATGCCTTCTATTTAGTGGCTCTGAGGAATCACAGTGCGAGTCACTAACTCTTGAAATTTCTCAAATGAAGAAGATCTGCATCTCCCTGCTGCCTTTTTAAATGGCTCTAGCTGTTGTTTCTCTCCTCACTTTAAAATCACAAGATGAACTTTCTAAAGACCACAGCAGGTAGGAAGTTCCCCCAGTTTCATCTCTCACAGAAGGCTCTGGTGATCAGAAATGACCACACACAGAAACTTAAGTTCTGAAGCAATTTAAGCACATAAATGCCCTGAGCCAAACAGATCACGGGAACCCAGTTAATTGAAAGTCCTTCTGGCCTAATTGCCTTTCGAGAATTACAAGGGCCTTGCTGATCATTTTACTTCCTGCGGTATATATTTACGAAACAGAAGTTACAAAAGATTTTAGAGTTACTAGAGGTATGCAGAGACTCCAGCCCACATAATACAGTTCAAGTCTTTGTTCTCAAACCAGATTAAAATGTCACCAATCTTACCTTTGGCAGACTCTTTTCCTCAGTCCTTCAGATAGAATTTGTGACTATCCTCGAGGTAGCTTGACAAGGCTGGTAACAAGGATGTCGGGGCTATTTGTGTAAAAGGAGAAGTGAAGAGGGAATAAATGTGATGACGCCGTGATGACAGGAAGCCCAAAAGAGGCAAGGGAGGAAGTGAGGCTGGGCCCGCCCTCTTTAGCGTCAGAGATGCAACCCCTCCCTTGTGGTTTTTTAGAAGCTTACACCTACGACCCACCCAAATGTCTAAACCAGGGGAAAAACTCCAAGGCCAAATTGGTTCAGGCTCGGATCTGTGAGCTTTGATGGGTTCTGGGGTGATTTGGGCATTGCTTTTGTTTAGAAAATGACAGTGCCTCTCAATCAAGGTGGCATCTCAGAATTACCTGTGGGATGAGAATAAGTAAGCCTGGCCCCACTGTACTTATTCAGTCCCATTCACGTAGACTGAGACACGAGTGGAACCCAAGAATCAATATTTTAAGAAGTTTTCTAGGACTGAGACTTAGGAATGTCTCTTAAACAACTCCACCTTCTCCCCACTAGTCTCCAGTTTGATTTGGTCACCATTTTCAGAATCTTGTGTCTCAGAAGCTGGACTGTCCTGATGTAAGGGGATTGTCAGGGACAAACTTCAAAGCACAATCCAAGGATCACTGGTAAATGACTTGGTTAATAGAGGGAGCCCTTGACTTAGAGTCCAAAGATATGGGTTTCCATCCCAGCTTTATTTCTGTTAGCTGTGAGATACTGAGAAAATGTCAACCTCTTGGCTTCAGTTTATTAATAGTAAGTCCAAGAATAATCCTGCTATCTTCCTTCACCCTGAGACATAAAGATTCTGGAATAAACTCTGACCAGGATTGGCTCATGGGGAAAGCTGAGTGGAAAAGTTCTTTAATGTAGAACATGTCAGTCATTAATATTCTCTTAATTAATATTCTCCAAATACGTAGATTTTCACAAACTTATTTGACCATAGAACAATATGTGTGTGTGTGTATTATTTCTAAGGGAACAGTTTTTCAGTGTAACTACGCTTTAGGAAATACTGTTATAAACTCTCCTGTCCTCGGCTGGCATCACTCTGAGAAATCACTGCCCCTCAGTCAGGGCTGCTGTCATACTGACAGTCCTCCAAAGTGGAGTAATTGAGGGGAGAACTTTTGATGGCTTTGATTACTAGCTCTCTGTACCAAAGATTCACATTTCTATGTGCAATCTGATCTCTCATTTGAGCTCCACACAGGCACCTCTAGTACAGTGTCCAAAATTCAGCTTAGTCAATGTGGCATCCTCCCTCTCAGGTCTGCTCTTCCCAACCACACCCCATTACCATCTCAGGGAAAGCTGGACTAACCTCTCAGTTGCCCCAGTCAGAAAACAGTCTTCCTCTTAAGCTACTCTCTCTCCCACATCACCACATATTATTGCTAAAATAATGATTAAAGAAGATAATTTAGGTGACACAAACTTTTTTTAAACACTTCTTGAAGTGGACAGTCTCCATCTGGAGAACTACAAAGTGGGGCAGAAGGCAGGAAGCTTTTATAGAATAGAAAATAAAGAAAAAGAAAGAGGAAATAACTGATTGGCTGAGGACACATTGTTGAAATTGTTTCAGGTGAGAAAGAACAAGGAAATAAGTATAGAGCCTAGAGTTGACTTGGCTGATGGATAAAAGCAAAGCATTTACAGAGACATGAAAATCGTAAAAATTTCAGTTTGCTGACAGGGCACCCAAGGGGCAGGAGCAGCTCCATCCTGGGCCTGAAGAGTTATTTCAACACTGTCAACCACCAAAGTCCTTTAAATTTTACCTTTGCTTACATATTTCTCAAATCAGATTACTTCTTGCCACTCCAGAACCATTACACTAATCCTTATCTCTCACCTGAGTTACTGGACCCCAGCCTCCTTCTCGATCAGCTTCGATGTTTTCTCCTGCAGTCCTGAGAAGGAGAGTATTCTAAAAATGCAAATTTAATTATGTCATTCTCCGGTTTAAAACTCTTCAATGGCTTCCCATAGGTTTTAAACAGTTCCTGTTAACTCCTAAGCCTCAGCTGGCCATTCCTTATCCATCCCCACCCCCATAGTCCTGCCATACTGGTTACTGAATTCCTTACCAAATTCCTTTGAGTTGCTTGAACAAGTCGATCTAGATTCTCTCTCTCTCCTCTCTTCCTTCCTTCCTTCCTTCCTTCCTTCCTTCCTTCCTTCCTTCCTTCCTTCCTTCCTTTCTCTTTCTGTCTCTGTCTCCCTGTCTCTGGAATATTTCTTCAACCTCTAGACTCAAAGATCTGTATGTAGGTTCTGTGTTGCTCTGTGTATGTTGAACAATTGGGTCTGGCACATAAGGGGTGCCCCTACAAATATCTGAATACCTCAGGTAGTGTCGGGCCTGAACGTTAGGAGAACTGGAGATTTAGGGAGGGAGGAGAAAGTAAGATAAGGAGAGAGATATGTAATGTGAACATCTATGGAGAGAGAAGTGGTTATTAGAAGGGAATTTTAGAAATAGCAGGGAGAATATCACACGATGAGAGATGCTCACAGAATTGAATGACCATTTTAATGGAGAGAACTTTTCCTTTAATTACTCTTCTCCATCATCCCACTGGAAAGAGGGATCCAAGTGCTTGACAACCAGTGGCACCTGTGGTCTGGGAGTCAGGGAAGGGTAGAGAATTGTATATTGACTTAAACCCAAACCTACAAGATTTCATTGAGAACTAATGCTCTTTATGACCATCAGATATTCACAATCCATTTGGAGGAAAAAGGGAAAAATGAAGAATAAGACAATTTCAGGGCAGCCCATGTTATTGAATAATCCAGAAGAATGCTCAAAAACTTTGGGAAAACAAATAAATAAGCAAAGGAATTTAGCCGAAGCTCAGACTCATCATGGTTTGGTCTTTTCAGTGCATGGTATTGATCAAGCATCAGAGATGATAATGGAACCTGGGAGTTTAGGAGACCTGCAGCTGGCCTGACAAGGAGTGGAAATACAAATTATTGTTGCTTCATTATCATGCAGTAGTATCTGCCAAAATGCCTCCTGAATGGACAAAACCTCATGGAGAAATCATAGGGTTCCCATTTAGAACTTCTTTTTTCTTTCAGATGAGTGAGTCTGTTTTTAATGATTGGAAAATAGGCACTATTGAAATATGAGAAGAATACAGATGGAACCCCCAAGCTGAGGGTAGACACTATGTTTTTTATTACAGCTTCAATAACCAGCAATGATACCGCTGTGCCTTTGAGGTTTAGACCAATGTGGCAGGGACTAGCAAACTTGCATCCATAGCTGCTCTTTACTAGCATCATTGTCCCAGATGCCATTTTGCCAGAAAGTTTGACACATTTTAACACAATGTTTGTGATATATTATGGCTACTTTTATTTAGGCTCTAGGAATGATATGGGCTCTAGAAGTAAAAATATAATATTGTATACATGAAACTTATATAGTGTTATAAACCAATATTACCTCAATAAAAAATGATTTTTAAAAGATGTTCTCTTAGTCTGTTCAGGCTGCTATAACAAAAATACCATAGGTTGGGTAGCTTATAAACAACAGAAATTAATTCCTTATGTTTCTGAAGGCTGGGAAGTCCAAGATAAAGGCACCAGCAGGTTTGGTATTTGGTTAGAGCCTGCTTTCTGGCTGATAGATGGTCATTTTCTCGTGGTGTCCTCAAAGGTATGACAGCATGATAGAGAGTTCTGGGGTCTCTTTTATAAGGGCACTAATCCCATTCATGAGTGCCCCCTCATGCCTTAATTTTTTCCCAAAGTCCTCACCTACTAGTACCATCACACTGGGGGTTAGGTTCCAACATATGAATTTGGGGAGCTCTTTCAGTTTATAGCACATACCTTGAAGAGAAGAACTGAATTATGGAATCTCACAGCTAGGAGTATGATGTAAAGGAAATAACAGAGGGCTGGAAACCAGAAGGCATTCACAGAGATAGTCTAAGGAAGTCATTTAACATCTCTGTGTCTTAGTTTTTTCCTCTGTGCTGTGGGATCATTTCTTATAGATCATTTCTTTATTTTCTATATGGAAAAGCTTTATAAAGTTTCAAATATGAAATGAACATTAGCTGTTATTCGCAGTATACTCCTTAGAAAATAGCTAGGCAATCTTCCAGATTTTTCAGATTCAGAACCTAAGACTTAAAGAGCTGAAGAGACCTTCCCCAGGTCTCTCAGCCAGGAAAGAGCTAAGCAGATTACCACGACCTCCACTACCTCAGTGGTTGGGGGATGATCAGGCCCCAGGAGGAAGCAAAAGGAATGGACCCCTTGTGCTGAAGATTCTTGACTTCTACCTGAAAGTTGTGACTCTCTCTTAGTAAGGTTCCATCTTCTTTGAGCTCAAGTAGGTGTGGACCAGTGAGAAACGACCTAGGTCATATGACACTGTAACCCAGACTAGATGGGTTTCCTTGCCCTCTTGCCTGAGTTGAGAGAGAACAGGGTGACAGGTCTCTGTGCAAATACAGCTATTCCCTGTGATGGCAACAGTTGCTATGACCGTCTCCCCTGACCCTCATCTAATCTTGGCTGTACCTCTGCAGCCCTCCCATCTATCAGCAAAGGTCTGCACAGCCCTAGGGCAAGAATCAGAAACTTACATCACTGTGTAGCCTCCCCTTCACTTTTCCTCAGAAGGACTCTAAGTCTGTGGATCACAAGAGGCTCCTTTTCCAGGTCAATCCAAAACAAAATCCAAGACAAAAAGCACAGATATGTCAGGGTTTGGCCATGCTACCTGGATATGTCCAGTGTCTCACAAGGACAAGCATCCTTGATAAACCTGGGAAAGTCATTGGCAAGTGTGGCTTTGCAACTCAACCTTGTAGAAGTCAGTTACAGAGACTCAGAGGCTTAAAAGCACAGTGCAAGTAACTGTGACGTGCAGAATTATCTGCAGAAGCTCATCATTCTAGAAGCCGTAGCCTTGTCTCAATACTTTCTCCTTATTCTCCTTTCAGTCAGGGCCCACCAATTGTCCTTGACCTTATGAGACTAATCCAAACATGACTTTCATTTTTTTTGTATATTTTTCCAGCAAGGAAAATAAGGGAAACTATAATGAAAGGAGAGGTCTAGAA